CTTCCTCCCTTCCTCCCTTCCTTCCTTCTTCCTCCCTTCCTCCCTTCCTCCCTTCCTTTTGGAAGAAAGTATTCTCTGGGTGTAGGGTACCCATGATTTCAGTACTTAGGAGGTTAAGGCAGGAGGATTCCAGCAAGCTCAAAGCCAGCCTGGAGTACAGGGCGAGGCCTGGGCATGTGAATGTGAGCACTGTCTCACCATTGCTAGTTCTGTGACTTTGGGCATGTTCCTTGGCCTTCTGTGCCTCGGGGTTTTTTGTTTGCAAAATAGAGACATAGCGGCTATGTGCCCAGTCGGACTAAACGGCTACATGTGCACAGCACTTAGGCTGGCAGGCGTGACGTGAGCACTGCGTGTGTGTCAGGCTGGCAGGGTGGGCTGAGCCCTGCATGTGTGCAGATGCTGCTGTGCTCTTTACTTGAGGACCTGCAAAGTGGGTCTGCACATTTCCCATGATGCAACTTCTCCGCTGTTACTTGGTAAAAGAACTGTTCTGTTACTTGTATGTATGTATCTTTGTGCATTTTAAAATTTTGTTTTGAAGAATTATTGTAGGGCAGCCATCTTTAAGTAGGAATGTTTAGGTTAAAGGTGATTTTTTACCACTGCTATGATGTCACCTGTGTAAAATCCAGGTTCTAATTCTGCTCAAGCAAACCCACACATTTATTGCATAGTCTTGTAGAAAACCAATAAATTAGAATAAGAGACAGAGAGGTTTCATTAAACGTTGCGAATTCCTATTTTCTAGCTTAGGATGGCTTAAGCTTTGATTGTCTGTGCTTCAGAGGGTCCTAGAAAGTACCACTTATGTGCTTGACATGTTAGAATGGTCAATAGTTTAGGTATTTTCTATTTATGTTTAAGATTTAATGAACAACAGTTGTTGAGGTCGCTGTTGTCATCATGACATTGATGTTTGTGTAAGTTCGTTTGTTAGCCCTGATGTTGGTTCTGAGGATAGCAGAACACTCTCAGACTTGTAGGAATAATGTGTTCTGGCTTTGTGATGCCTGGCTTATCAGTGGAGGAGAGGGTGTGATCAGTACCCAGCTCTGCTCCACACTGAGTACTAGGCTGAGCTGGCCCAGGGGCGAAGCTGGAGGGGTTTCAGGGGTGAAGCTGGAGGGATTCCTGGGGTGAAGCTGGAAGCTCCCAGGGGTGAAGCTAGGGGCTCCCTGGTGTGAAGCTAGAGGGGCTCAGGCTGCCTCTTCCTTCCTAGAAGCCCAGCTTCCATAATTCATGTTAGGGGGGCTTGTGTGAGCCCAGAAGGTTCTGTAAAGAAAACACCAGCAGTCACATTTAAAGTTGTTATGTAATAGTGAGAACAGTGGAAACTGAACAGGACAGCATGATGGTTAATAAGATGGCTAATGGCTAATGTCAGGTACGGGAGCTTTCGGAAGGAGGGGCTTTGTTGTCCATGTGTGTGGAGGGGAGGGATTCTCCAGAGCACCTTAGCAGCCTGCACACCTCAGGAGCCCAAGAAATGCTTGTGCTCCCAGCCAGCTGCCAGGACCTGCACACCAGTTAGAGGCAGGGAGATGGAAATTCAGGGTCCATTTCAGCTCAGTCACTTCCAGGCCAGCCCGGCAGCAGGAGACCCTTTTCAGAGTCCCTTCTCCTTCTTGTAGGCGTCACTCTTACTCCTGGGGTCCTGTCCTGACAGTGTGTGTAGAGGTGGAACGCGGTGTGTTATTTTAATTCCCCAGGAAGAGGCTAGACACAACCCTAGCAAAGGAGCGTTCAGCTGCATCAGCACCCACTGCGGTTGTGTTGCACAGTCATTTCAACTCATTTTCTCATGAAAATGTTTCTGATAATGATGCTGATTGTGAGTATAAGCTTAAAAATAAAATAATGGTTTAGTAGTGTCTGTCATTAGGTTGTGAGAGTGTGGATGGTGTTGGGTATGTTCTCCTTACTCCCTTTGGCTAAGAATTCTGTGGTAAAACCATATATGGATTATAAAATAGGAAGAGTGTGTGACCCCTCACACAGGACACAGTTTGTACCTGTAGCTACTTTACTGAACGCTTTAGAAGAACATTATAAAGATCTCATCTATTTATAGCTCAGTTTAATAAATATTTATTGAGTGTGTTTTGCGTGCTAGGTCGAATTGTCTGCGTGTCGTTATGAAGACGTTGCCATCTGTGAAAAGTGATAACAGAAATGTAGGAGTGACAGCAACATGCCATTGAGGTTGCTGTAGGGGTTAGTGCATGGATTCGGAGAAGGTATGGAGTATGCATCTCCTTGTCTGATGTCAGAGGGTTCTTCAGATCTCCGTCTCCTTTCAGCTCTGTTGACTGTAGCACACTTGTCTGTCTTGGGCCGGTTCTAAACCTAGTCTGCACGTAGCTCTGCCTGGCAGGTGTCCCAGGACTCTGTATCTCCATCCGGGGTGTCCACCAGCACAGCTTCACACAGTGGGTACAGTGGTCAAGAGCCGGGGACAGGGGACAGGGCCTTACATGTTAGTGTATTTGCCTGGAACGCTGAGGCTCTGAGCATGCTCCAAGAGGACAGAGGGGACAGAGGGCCACACCCTGCTTGTACTTTCACTACCGTGGGAGGGACTAACTGCACGGGGAGGAGAGGGAGCTGAGGGCTGGGGGCTGACCGTCACCGCTCTCCACGCTGGGGCAGGCTGAGGGTATCTGTGGCTTTACACCTGTGGTCGGTGGCTGGCAATTGTTTTAGTCTAGCTCCCTTGGTGTGTGGCACCCAAGAGCAAAAGAAAACTCTTCTGAAAATTCACCTTTCATCTAAGTAGGGAGACTTACTTATTTTAAGTCATCTTTTTAAAAGAAAACATACACTCATTCACTTATTGTGTGTGTGTGTGTGTGTGTGTGTGTGTGTGTGCGTGTGTGCATGCACATCATGGCGTGTGCACGGAGGTCAGGACAGTTCGCACAAGTTGATTCTCTCCTTCCCTCATGTGGTCCCTGGAGTCACACTCACGTCGACACAGTTGGCAGCAACCGCCTTTGCCTGCGAGCCGTCTCACTTGTGCTTAACTCATCTTTTACATCCCAGTTCTGGAAGCTGTTTCTGTCTTCATGGCGTCCGTGTTTGCCGCTTCTCTTCTTGAGACTTTGGCACCAGATTGAATGAACTGTTCTTTTTAGCCATTAAACTTCTAATCCATATGGTTTATATGATGATTTAAATGTAGATTCTAGTTAGAAAACCTCTCTAACGAGTTTTTAATGCCTAAAATCAGAAGAAATCCATAGTAAAGCAACCACGTGGCCAGCATTGTGTGTGAGGTGCTGGGTCACTTCATGTTCATTTGTGGTCTTAGTTTAGCTCTGGGATATAGGTGGGTTCTAGGGCCAGAGGTGTTCAGAACCCAGGGTGTTCTTCCCTCGGGGGTCACCTTAGCAATAAATAACTGTCCAGTTATTCTTCCCCAGTGTTTGTTTGTACAAAGCATGTGACATGTACCGGGGCAGAAGATGGGAGACTAAATTAACTGCCACTTATGAAGGCATAATTGTGTACCAGCTGCCAGCTCCTTTCCGTCCCCGGTTCTGGACTGGGCGTTTTCAGAATGGAGGGGCACTGTTGATCTCCTGCTACAGTATAGCACTTTGAGCAGCGCGTAAATCTCTGATGGACTAATTCTGACCTAAGCAGAGGACTAAATAATGTTTAACTTCAAGATTTAGCTGTATGGGGATTACAAATGTTTCCCTTTACAGGAAAAAATAAGTTGTAATTTTAAAAATAATTGGCACCAGGAGGTGTTTCGTACTCGCCACTTGGTAAACTCCAGACAAGAGTGTCACAGTTCACTGTGTATGTTTGTCTGACAGCACGTGAGATCTTTGGGATTAATGGATGTTATTGACTTATTCTTGGTTAGTCATTGTAAGCTAACAATTGGAGATGTTAATTTTTGTCACTGTTGTGCTTGTTCGCAGGTGGCAAACTCTGGTCATACATCAGTAAGTTTCTAAACAGAAGTTCTCAAGAAAGCTTTGATGTCAAGGGAACGAAGCCATCCACCCCTCATCAAGTGTACCTGCAGCAGCCGAGTGCCAGTCCTCAGGGCAGCAGCAGCTTCGAGTCCAGAGGAAGCGACGTGGGGAGCAGGTTGAAGGTTCTACCCCCTAGTCTCACCCCCAGTTCTCAGGAGGAGGATGAGGGCAGCTCTCCCAAGTGGCCAGATTCAGGCTCCAGCTCAGAGGAGGAGTGCACAGCTGGCTACCTAACGCTGTGCACTGAGTATGGGCAGGAGAAGATTGACCTGGGGTCTCTGAATGAGGAGTCTGTCATACAGCCTGAAGGGGAGAATGCTGATACCCAAGCTGTTGGGAGTTTCCCAGCACCCCTTGCTGCTGGCAGTATGAGCCCCAGCACGCAGCTCAAGTTCTTCCCTGGAGAGGAGGACCTAACAGTGTGTTCCCCTCAAACATCTGATCCCCTCACTCGGTCGAAAAACAGCCCCATGGAGTTCTTTAGAATAGACAGCAAGGACAGCACGAGTGAGCTGCTGGGACTGGATTTTGGTGAGAAATTACACAGTCTAAAACCAGAACCTTTGAAAGCACTCTTTACCCTTGAAGGTGGAGATAGCCTTTCCCAGAGTTTTAATACCAGCGAAAGCCACTGTGACAAGGAAGCTCAGGACTCCATCAGCAGGGGCTCAGACGACTCCGTCCCAGTGATCTCATTTAAAGAGGCTGCTTCTGAGGATGTGGGTGGTGCAGACGAGGGCAGGCCCGATCTTCTTGTAAATCTACCTGGTGAGCTACAGCCAGACAAAGAAGCTTCAGCAATGGATCCTGCTAAGTTTCCACAGGCCGGTGCAGGCAGGCTGGAAAGCAAACTGCTGGAAGCCCCGGATGTGTTATGCCTCAGGCTGAGCTCTGAACAGTCCTGTGGCCTGGGAAAAGACAGCCCAGAGGAACTAAGTGATCCTGCTAGGTTTCTACCTGGTGGTGTGACCCCAAAGCACCACACTGAGGCAGATCTTGGGGTGTTGCTCAAGGCTGATGTTGATCATGGAAGCTCAGGAGAGCAGTTTCTGTTCCCCAGCTTGCATCCGGAGTCTGAAGGGCTGGGGCAGGTGGAGGCAGCGGGCCGTGCATGGGGCTCGGGAGAAAGCCTGGCTCCCATTTCCAGTCCACACTCAGGTGCTAAAGAGCACAGTGCACACACAGACACGGCCGCAGCAGAGGAAGTGTTGCTGTTCACAGAGCAGACTAAAGAAGAACCAGGCTCTCTATTTCAGAGAGACTCGGAGACCAAGGAGCGAAGCGTGCGAGCCCCGGGAGTGGAAAAGGACATCCATCAGATTTTTGAGGACCTTGATAAGAAATTAGCAGTAAGCTCCAGGCTCTTCATCCCTGAGGGCTGCGTTCAGAGATGGGCAGCTGAAATGGTGGTGGCCCTTGACGCCTTGCACAGAGAGGGGATTGTGTGCCGCGATCTGAACCCAAACAACATCTTATTGAATGATGGAGGTCAGGAACTTGCGCAAATGCATTTCTTTTTATTCGCTGTTGCTTCCAATTAACTGAGTAGGCGTTTTATCTTGTAATTAGTATCTTCATTTCCTGTCTAGAGCTTCATTATCAGTGCGGCAAATTCACCCCCAGTAATAGCTTCTGGTACTTAATGAGGCCATTATTCTTAATGATACTGTTTTTAGCTACAAAAGAAGTAATTACAGTTCGCTTCTGCAGAAAATGGAAGAGAAAAATGTTTTGATTTCTCCTGTCGTTTTGTTTTTAGGACACATTCAGCTAACGTATTTTAGCAGGTGGAGTGAGGTTGAAGATTCCTGTGACAGTGATGCCGTCGCGAGAATGTACTGTGCCCCAGGTTAGCACTCTCCTCAAACGCGTCCCTTGGAAAGGTGGCTCTTCCTTCTCTGTGCAGTTGTGTTTCCCACTAGCAGTTTACGTAAGGGTCAGGTCTGCTTATCTCTTCAGACGTCAAGGAGGAAAAGGAGGGTATTGAACTGTTTGGAGCCCGCAGGTGTGCGTCCATGTGCTTGCGCTCATGTACACACGTACTGCTCTTGTTAAAAGCATGTATGTATCTCTGGGAAGTCATTGCATTCTTTGAAGTGGCTAAGCCTTATGTCCCCTGAGCCCCTTCACATGGGTGGACTTTCAGTTTTGAGATGTGGGTGCAATCCCAAGGCTTCCAGTAGAGAGAATGTGTGGCGTGCCCTCAGGGCAGGCCAGCCTGGAAGCTGAGAATACGTTTTAAGATATTCTTTCTGTGCCCGAGCACACAGTAAGCGTTTCCCCTACTTTAAACTGGCCCATGTAGCTAAGTACTTGACACGTCTCTCGCTCTTAGTGTCTGCTCTTTATTTTTGACATTACAGGTAGCTCTCTGTGGCCATTGGGGCCTCTGTTGGCAGCCATAGTTAGGCCTATGGACTGGATTTGAGGTACCCTCTTGTCAGTGCAAATGGTGCTCTGCTTAAGCCCACAGCTCACTCCGTTTTCTGAACACCAAGTCTCACACGTGAGCAGAGTTTATTCATCGCTCGCCCACCGGCAGTTGTCTCGGATGGGGCAGACAGGACCCGCTAGGTGTGCTGTGGTCTCGAATTTGTGTGAGCTGGCCGCTGTGTTGCTGTTCAGCTTATAGCTCAGCGTCCTAGGAAACGATGGCAATTAGGAATGATAGGACTTTATTGCTTTTAGGGAAAGCCTTCATTGTTCAGAGTTGCTGGGCTGAGGAAAGGCAAGTTTTCAACCCATAATGCAAATCCCCCAAGTTTCCCCCAAACAGCCGATACTGTCTTGTAGTTAATGGTGTAACAGAAAAATTGTAGTGGAGTTCTTGGTCTTGCGTTCACAGGTGGTGAGAACTGACGTTTTCCGCACCAGCCAGCGTTTACACGTCCGTTATTACAGTGAGTTGGGAGGCTTCAGAGTCCACCCTAAACTTGGGCAAGCTCATGGGCAAAGCATGTTCCATGCAGAAGTGGGCCAGTGTGATGCATAGGGGAGGGCCGACTGCTCAGCCATGGCTTCCATACTGAGAACTGACCGTCTGAGCCCATCAAGCCAGTTCTCCTTCAGCATCTCAGTGTTTCCATATGTTAGGATAAAAGTATTCTATACAGAGTCTGGGTTTCGCGTACTGGTTGCCAGTTTCTGAGTTTGCCACTGTGTCAGCAATTCCATATTCCCCGGTTTCCCAGCCCGGACTTCCTTTCTCTGGAAGACCACTCCTCACGTTTGACCAGCAGGTGGCAGTGCACCATTAATGGATTCTTTCTGCAGGCCTCTTCCAGGTTGTTGTCCTTCACGTTTAGGGAAAAAAATCCAGCCAAACTGTAGTCTAAAGAGAGGCTTTGTTGTAATTGTCTGCATGAAAGGATGGTACCTTCCAGCTGCTTAGCTGCCCTGTGTGTGAGCAGCAGGGGTAGTTCTTCCGCCTCTTGGGCAGATCAACTTCAGCAGCCAGGAGAGACAAATCCAGCAAAGTAGTTCCCTTCTCCCGCTAACATGACCTCAGAGAGGCAGGTTCTCGGCCATGTGGCCCCTAGATCTGAGGGGCAGCGCTGCCTGAGTCAGCAGCCTTCCTTCTCAGTGGGGCGAGCCGTGGTAATGGGCCAGTACTTCAGTGTACAGTCAGCAGCCTTCCTTCTCAGTGGGGCGAGCCGTGGTGATGGGCCAGGACTTCAGTGTACAGTCAGCAGCCTTCCTTCTCAGTGGGGCGAGCCGTGGTAATGGGCCAGTACTTCAGTGTATAGTGACCGAACACCTGTAAGTAATAGATCCCGGCAGGAATTCCCTCCTCCACATCCACCTTCCCACGCCCCTAACTCTGGCCTGAGAGCTGCTGAGATAGCCAGGAAAGCCAGAGCTGCTCCTGCCTGATAGGAAGTAAAGTTGTCAGAGGAGACACAGAGCTTTGCCCTCTGTGTGCAGCCCGGCCTGCCCCTGCCCCTCTGCCCTCCCAGAATCCTTATCACCTGTTTGTCCAAAAACCATCACCCACCTGCCTGCACTGTATACTATCACTCTATCCTTTTATCTGTGGATGATGCACCTTGATATTTTGAGAAAAATTCCCAGTAACAGATTCGATTTACATGGACAGAAACTTGAGCAAATGCCAGACTAGCAGGGGGGCCATTATTCTGTTCTATAAATAAGCTTAGACCAGAAAATACTCACAGAAACCTAGGAATCAACATGTTTTGGTCTAATTGAGGGGAAAAGCGATAGATAAATTTTGAAATGCAAATGATCACCTTCTGTTATTTAAGAAACACTTCTGCCAACTTTGTGATCTTAGATTTAAAGTCAGAGCCCTCCAGCCATGTCTGCTAAGGCAGTCTAGGGCCCACAAGTTTCTTTAATAAAACTAAGAACCTAAAAAAAAAAAAAGTTACCCTTTTATGTTAAAGAAAAGAGATCCAACAACACAAAGACAGACACCGTGGAGCTCTGTCTCCGTCTGTGAGAAAGCCAGCGCTTAAATGGCTGCAGCTGCAGATCCATCAAGAGGGTCTTGAGAATAGGAATTCAGGGATCAGACTCAGCCCTGTTTTCAAAGTCGCAGCGTCCTTTCAGGTTCATTCTGCATCCCTCGATTATCTAGCAAGGTTGTGTTAAACAAACATCATTCACGGCAAATGGGCTCCTTTCATAGCACAGACACACTGTATGGAGGGCAGAAGGAGAAAAGGCAGGTTGAGACGGGCCACATGAGCACACTGAGTGCACACTGAGTAGGGCCGCAGCGCTGTCCTCTCTCTGGGCACTGGGAGAGGTGCTGAGGCAGGGTGCGGCCCACTTTCCTCCACAGCATTTGCTTGTAGCGATTCTGATTTTATTTCTGATGCTACAGAAACCACAACTTCAAGTTTTTCCCCCAAGGATTTGAAACATTTCTATGCTCCACTTGATAGCATAGAGTAAATTTTGTTACAGCATTTTTAGTGTAATAGAAAAATAAAATGCGCATCTTTGGTTAGGAGTCCTGACTGCTATCATCACAGGCAGCTAGAAATAGAAGGTATAACTCTAACCATGTGAAATACAAAGACTGACTGAAAATTCAGTGTGCAGACTAGCACAAGTGAGCCGCCTTGTTTACATTCACTCACATTCCGTGCACCCTTAAACAAGTCCTACGTAGCCTCCTCTGTTACTTTCAACGCCATCATGAACCTTTAGTTTTAGATACTTGAAATGTACATTGATCTCTCTTGCAGAACACTTATCAGCCTGGAGAGCTTCTAGGTGAGCGTGTGTAAACTGAAGAGGTCCAACGTGTTTTCGCTGCAGCCCCCTTGCCACGCTTCCCGATGTCAAATGACAGCTTTGCTTCCTCTGTTAGGCAGTTTCACACTTGAAAACAGCTTACAGCTGACGGCAAAAGTGAAACACAGAAAAGTAATGCTGAAAAGTGTCTGCAAAATTCAGAGTGGAGTGTGACACTCACGTGCTCCCATCCTATGCACGCCGAGCCCCAAAGCCCCATGAATGTGTTTTGGGGGAGCCCTTTCCCATAACCATGCCTTCCCTTCATCTCTTTCTTGGTGAGCGTGGTTGGTCCTCAGCAGTGTAGTTCGGTGTTTGGTACTAGAGCTAGGATCCGACCCCGCGATGGTTTAGTAGGTGCTGATACCACCAGACAGTCCCTGCTCACAGAGTGAGATAGCATCGAGAATTGCCAAGCCCACATTTTGTCCCACTGCGCTGGTTTTGGACAAGTTATTTAAGATTTTCCAGGCCTCCTTTTAATACTAGTAAGTGGATTTGTCGAAGAGAAATAAAACGGCTTATGTCAATCTCACAGCACTCTTTTTATACAAAATTCAGTCAGAATTCAAGTTCATGTAGTGCAAAATCCCACTTACCAGTCTGGGAGTGTGGAGATGGGCAGCAGTGAAAAATGTGCACACAGTTTATACACACTCACCTAGAAGCTCTCCAGGCTGATAAGTATTCTGCAAGAGAGATCAATGTACATTTCAAGTTTCTAAATTTTAAGAGTTAAAGGAGTTATTTTACTTGAAGGACTTTTTTTTTTTTTTTTTTTTTTTGCCACTTGACTTTCTACTAAGGCAAATAAAAGTGGTTGTTTTTGTTAGTTTGTTTTTGTTTTTTTTTTAATTTTTTATTAATTACACTTTATTCATTTTGTATCCCCCCATAAGCCCCTCCCTCCTCCCCTCCCGATCCCACCCTCCCTCCCCTTTCTGCATGCATGCCACTCCCCAAGTCCACTGATAGGGGAGGTTCTCCTCTCCTTTCTGATCTTAGTCTATCAGTTCTCATCAAAAGTGGCTGCATTGTCCTCTACTGTGGCCTGGTAAGGCTGTTCCCCCCTCAGGGGGAAGTGATCAACGAGCAGGCCAATCAGATTATGTCAGAGGCAGTCCCTCTTCCCATTACTATGGAACCCACTTGGACACTGAACTGCCATGGGCTACACTTGTGCAGGGGTTCCAGGTCATCTCCACGAATAGTCCTTGGTTGGAGTATGATTTTCTGGGAAGTTCCCTGTGTTCAAATTATCTTGTTCTGTTGCTCTCCTTGTGGAGTTCCCGTCCCCTCCAGCTCTTACTATTTCCCACTTCTTACATAGAATTCCATTCACTCTGCCCATCAGTTGGCCATCAGGCTCAGCATCTGCTTTGACAGTCTATACTGCACATAGTAAAGGCGATATACAGCAAGCCTATAGCCAACATCAAACTGAACGGAGAGAAACTTAAATCAATCCCACTGAAATCAGGGACAAGACAAGGCTGCCCACTCTCTCCATATGTCTTCAACATAGTGCTGGAAGTCCTTGCTAGAGCAATAAGACAGTTGAAGGAGATCAAGGGGATACAGATG